TTTTATCTTGTTGTTTTGGTTTTGCAGCCTGCAAGTTAATTTGAGTCTTGTGGCTCTCATCTGCCATGATTCCATCTGAACAAAACAGGTCTATTCAATCTCTTCAATCAATCAATCAATCAATAAAGCTGATTTATATAGCCCAATATCACACATTTTACATTTGTCTCAGTGGACTTTACAGTTTGTACAGAATATGAATACGATACGACACCCTCTGTCCTTGGACCCTCGCATGGGACAAGGAAAAACTCTCAAAAGAACCCAACAGTTCATGGAAAAATTGAAGAAACCTCTGCGAGAGCAACAGAGGAGGGATACCTCTCCCAGGACGGACAGACGTGCAATAGATGTTGTGCGTTAAGTAAATATATAATACATTTACAACATAAGTAGTCCAAATACTTGAAAATGAATGTTTCTTTGATGTGAAATCATTACTTGTACATTATATGCCCAGAACCAAACTGCGATAGGGATGCTAATTTAGAAACATTTTGAATCCATTATCAACCTTCAGCTGCAGTCTTTATCTGAGTCCCCGGTTGACCTGTCTGGAAGGCCAAGCAGGCATAGAAAGTTATATCTATGAAGATATTTGCAACTGTAAAGCAACATATGTTTTTCACATATTCTGTTTTGTGGCATATCAAAAACTCTTTTAGTAAGAACATAATGAGTATTGATGTTTGGAGACATTTTTTGACCGAGAAGAACCTCATATAAAACGTTTTTTTCCCATAAGAGTAGCTTTGATGTACTTCAACTCCTTCCAAAGTGAACTTGGAACATTGAATTCTCACGTAGTGCAACCAACAGCACAACAACAAATATCCCCGAATGACCCCAAAGTCAAAACAGCTGCCGTGCACTTTGAGAGCCCTGATCTGATGTGGAGGTCTTTTGCAACACTGGGTGGACTCCATTCATTGCCAGCATCAATGTGCTGCAGCAGGAAGGTACAGGACTTTAGTATTCATTGGACCAGATTCTAATCTCTCACGTACTGCATCTAACAATACTCCAGGCATAGCCCAGTATTATAAACTAATAGGAGTGACTGTGACCAACACTGTTTTATAAGATAGAAACACGTATATCTTTAGGCTTGAAAGGCGCTATAGAGCCAGAGTTTTGTTTGTCCTTTGAGCTACCGTAGACATGGTAGTGCAATAAACAGTAGTGTAACTCATGAAATACCTGATCCCCATTCATAGTTTCATTTGATTACATACTCGTAAAAAAACACAGTTACGAATATTATATTTGGTTCCTGCAAACAAAATACTACACTGGTATTTACATACTTGCTGGCTTTATGTCAAAAGATATGGCATAACAAATACAGACATATTGAAGAGCATATTATATATAAAAAGGCATATTCACACCCCAAAACTGCTCAACTAGCTAAACTAAAGTAGTTGTTTACTCAGCTATTTTAACAGTACAATGTCATGTATTTCCTTAAGAGGAGAACGTACAAAATGGGGCTGAAGGCAACAAACAAGTATAGACTGATACATTCGTCCTCTGCTTCAACTCTGCGGTGATGCGTTACATCTCCCCGGTAAAAATGGTGTGTCAGAGAGTTTGTTTTGAAGCAATTAATGAAGTGAATGGGGTCTGTTTTCCACTGAGTATGGGACATAATAACTGTTCCATCCTTTAGGGCTAGTGATTAGCTAAAGAACTGTCCGGACAATTTTCAAAAATGATCCTTGTGGAGCTGAGGGGATATTAGGACATTGTGCAAGAAAGTAACCGCCATTAGTTTAATGAGGACGATGCTTGACACCGTGGAAATGCACATCTTATTGTGCAACGGAACCGGTAAACTGGAAAAGATCAGCACAACAGAAACAAACCAGTGAGTGGAATATTCCTGTGCCCCATTTCCCTTGTTTGTTGCCCAGTACCAATGCAGATTTCCATGAAAACACTGCCATAACTTCCATGACAATTACAGCATCTTGATAGATACAAGACCTTTTGCTGTAAGACTGTTTATCTGATTGGAATATGCCTCACTGTATCTGCTATATCAACCACTAACTAACAGAGAGACATCAGATGGTTATTTTAGAAGTAATGACTTCATATTTACTTGAGATTGCAGTTGCTGTTTCACAAAGAAAATATGTTCTTTCCCTTTGTCTGATCATGATGAACTCTTTCCAAAAGCTGTACACTTTGATGTAGAACCACAGTACTTTTTATTCGGTTTTATGATAAGAACTCTTTTTAAAAACTTTGTAAACATGATATCAAGGCACTGCAGCGCTAAAATGCTCCCTCCACCACAGAAAGTCACGCCGGACCCAAGAGCCTCCACTGATTTCATTTTCTCTGTTTATTGCTCCGACAGCACAGATTAGGGGATGGGACAAACATTTGTTTTGTTGGAAGATGAAGCACAGTGGTTAGGGCGAGCTGACAGAGATGATTTGTTTAAAGGGCACAGGAAGAAATTATGTTCCAGATTCCAATACAGAAGCTGAAAGGTCAGGTTTGCCATTAAAGCGATATTTCATTGTGACTCGCCAAAATGTTTCTCTGCATTTAGGTAAAAGTCACTATAGTTCCACTGATGAATGGTTCCATTTCTTTCTTGAACATAAGCTGACATTAAACCATCCAAAGTGGGTATCTGTCACTGGGCCTCAAATCTGGAAGGGCCTCAAAAGCCCGCCAAAAAACAGTAAATGTATATCACTTTGGACAAATGAAAATACTACTAAAGCACTAAGAGCCTGTAGGTTTGTCATGAGGCCCTGACCTGAAGAGACTTGTTTGAAGATGATGAAGTGCTTCTACTTTCTTTTGTGTTTAAAGGTCACCTATTATACAAAATCTAGTTTTTCATGCTATTTATAAATAAATATGTGCCCCGGAAAGTTTATAAAGATTATCTCTCTTTTTGTCCTGACTCATTTACATAAAAACCTGAAAATTAGCTAATCTAATTCTGGCCACTTTGTGATGTCACAATGATTTATTGGGTTATGTAACCATTAGCCAATAACCAACCAAGGTAACACTTTCCCACCTCATCACCTGGATCTCGTCCGATATTTAAATGTTGTAATATATATTTGATATAAAACTAAATAATATATTTTGATATAAAATGAAATATAATGGTTTCTTATTAGCTAATCTCAATTGTGGAATGTACTGTATGTTAGCACCTGGTGCTCGCACAACTTTAAACAAATGATTTGGTAACTTTATCAGTAACATATTTTAACTAGATGCCCGTAGTATATAATATTAAAATTCCATCTGATCATGGTTTTAACTGTTTCATGCCTTTGCATCCCCAACATATGAAATATACTTTACTGCTTACAATACAAGACGAGAGGGAGAGTGGCTCTTATTCCCTTATCTACAGAGTTCCAAACACAGCTCCATTGAAATGAGAGGTAAATCGTTTTTTTTATATATAAGTCTGAGGCTGGAACTTAAAAAAATCAGACGTTATGGTGCAAGTTTATTCTCCTAAGAGTATAAAATCCCGTAAAGCTGCTGAACCTATAGCTCATTCTCTCTATAATAACACGATTGAAGAAAATGCTCATCTGCTTTCCTCTCCCTTCTGAATATGCTGCATTGATTAATGATTCTCAGTGTTCTGACTAATGCAGTTTATTCTCTCATTAAGCTACAACAAACGTTGGTGCTCACAGGGAACTGTAACAGTCTGCATTATGGATTGGGTCATTAGTGTTCAAATAAACTGGCCCTGTTTTGCCAGCTTCCTCTCGTATATGTCCAGTAAGCTATGCTCTCCGTTATGGATGACAAAGCTACACACTCCTGCTACTCCTGTGGCTGCATATATGATTTCCTGCTTTTAGTTAAAACATGAGGGAAAACATAGCTTAGCAAGAAAATCACTATTAACCTTAAAAAATAAATAAAAATGCTTTGAAAACAATAAAATCCAATGCTGTGTGAAACAAAGCAAGGTTTTTTACACTTTTTTGTTGACAAATGTTGTCAATTACTGTACAAAACTCACATATTTTTATATATATATATACACCGTACTGTCATTTACCAATTTGAAAAAAATAATAATTTTCATTCATTTATTTTTTCATTTTGTGAAAATCTGTTTCAGAAATCAGTCTAACGAATGTATCAAAACATTTTAAATAAATTATTCAGTTTTCCATTATTATCATTACTGGTGAACACCATCTTGTGGAGGCCTTCAAAACTACAACTGAATAACAAGAGATATAAAAAACAGGGCATGTATGTAAAGTTGTATTGAATATATTTGTTTAAGATGACCCCTGGTAATGTTGAGCTAATGTATTGCTAACTTCTCTAGAAGTTTCCCAAATCACAGGGCTCACTCACTCTTATGATATAAAAAAAAAGTTTGACTTCCAATAGTTTCATGTGACAACAGCAACATAAGGGGGTTGATGCAATGAATGACAAAATATGTCCTTTTTCAACATTGGACGGGGCTTTCTTCCAGGTGGCTGACTAGATAAAACAAATTAGGCGTATGTGGCCACATGGTGCTGACAAATTGGCGGGTTTATGGTTCAAGCCAGAATAAATAATGAACACTGGCCTGCAGCTGCCCATACAAATCGAGGCCAAGCGACTTACTCATTACCCATCTCAAAGTGGTACACAACCAAAACATCAACACTCCCACTTGCTGGTTCAGTGATAGTTGCTTACAACAACAAAAAGACATATTTTTGCACTTTCTGCAAGCTGATGGTCAGGATTTGTATCTAAAACGCATAAGTGAAGACATCCGAATAGTTATATATATATGACTGATCTTTTTCACTAATCGAACTGGCATCAATGGTTACCTGGCAACATTACCCTTTCTCACAATTTTTCAACTGTGCCTTGCCTTGTGCCTTGCAGTCAACTGCCAAACTCATAATGTGTGTAGTTGTATGCGGACGTAGTTGTATGCGGACGTAGTTGTATGCGGACGTAGTTGTATGCGGACTTACCTGTCTCGACTTTGGAGTGATCCATCGTTTCCGTCACCTTCTCCTGGCTAATGAGGTAATCAACGATGCGCACGCCGATTGGTGGCTCAGTGTGTTTCCATTCCATGATGACCAATGAGCTGCTGGGCTCGTAGGTGTAGGACAGCTTCAGCCTGGCACAGGAATGACAGGTGCAGAACCACTGAGTGAAGCAAAAGTGGTCTCATCACAGAAATTAGGTGCTAACATTTTCCCTTGTGTTTTGCACAACCTAATAAAAACACATTCTGCAATGTCACAAACACTTTAGTTAACAGAAAATAAAGCTATTGTACTCATTGACGTCTGACTTGGCTTACTGTAGAGCGGTGAAGTGAAGTATAACACTAGTGGTGTTGATACAAATTGAACCCCAATAATAATCATGATTAATCACATGTTTATATTACTTGTATTTTCGGGGGAAACAAAAATAAATACATGTGTGGAGCTCTAATAAAGAAACGTATGCAAAACTGGTAAGCGAAATCAGAGGGTTTTTTACCGAATTAAGTCAAAAAAGAAATCTGACAAAGTGGCTTTTACAGAGAGCCACTGTGATTCCCCTATGTACAATGTACACAGGGCATATGATCTCTAATGCTTAGCAAGCACTATGTGTCTACATTGGTGTCAGAGATGCTTGTTGATCTCTGGTCATCTCCAGTCACTTTTTTGCTGCCGTGCAATTCATGGTAAAAATGTGCTTTGGAATTATAAGAAGTAATCAATTGTGGGGGTTTACATGATAACATTGACAGCTCCAATGAACATGCAGAGGTTAAAGCAGCTCATTTAATTGATTAGCAATCCCAATACTGACAGGATAAATACATCAGCCACACTGAAATCATAGAAACATTATCACTCGATGAACCCCTGTACGTAGACAACGTACCCCCCCCCCCCCCCCACGCATTCAGTATTATCACCATGGCTGTAATATTATATTGTCTGTATACACATGGATCACAATGGCACATTACTTGACACCTTGGGATAGAGCTCTGCCAGTGTAATTATGGATGGTCTGTGTTTGAGAAATGTTAGAGTTACTTACAAAGGATGTGGCAGTGGGGCGCATGTGGGGAGTCCGTCTGTGCCAAATGCGCTGGAATCACAGCGACACCAGTCATCGATAACATCACCTTTTCCCGAACACCACAGCATGCTCATCATCGCCTCCTGGAGAGACTACGAAGAGAGACACAAAAAGTGGAATCCCAGTTCAAATCAATTGTAAAAAATGTTCAGAGCATTTATTATGGATTTCTTGTGGGTATATGAGTATTTCAACAAATATAACTAAACAATCTCTAAGTAAATAAATGTATGTTAAAATGTCGTCCTGTTGTACATGAATGAATCTTCTTATTTGGGAGCATCACATTTCCCCCTGAAAAAGTCTTTGTATTGTTGTATGCAAAACTAATAATTTCATGTTATGAAGTATACACATTTACGCCCCTTTGTATAATATTAAAATACTTTTTAAAGCCATAAGAAAGAAAACATTATTCAAAATGTTGCCGGGGCATTGTGTCTATACCAGCAGTAACACAACTATCAAACAGCCCTTTCCGATAACAGTATCAACACCCTGAGGTTCAGATGAAAGCCTGCCCCCCCCAGGAGCGTGGACAGCACCGTATCGACATCACTTCCTGCTAGATGAGCAGAAACTGTAACAACATAAGCTATCGATGGACTTAAATAAGTCACAGCACAGTATGGCAGATTATGGCACAGCATGCTGCCCGCAGAGTAAGACATAATACTCAAAAAGGAAAGGGCTTTCACTTTCTGTGACCTCTTCCATAATGAGGCATGGGGGTTTTTTGGCCATGAAGGGTCACCCACAGACAGGCACAGAACACCTGTAGAGTTACTGTGGCTAAAAATTCAAAAATCCAAATGTTGATATTATTAGCTGCAAAGAAGGCAGTTTAGATGACGAACAATTCTGGGAAGGTTTTCAATCTAGGTGAACAAACAAAAGTTGCTGAAAGGCCGAAGACAAAACTGCTTCGATTATATCTTAATATAATGAAAAGTGTTTAACATATAATAATGTGCACAGAAATAATACATGAATACTCACAGCTAACAAAAAGGGTCTGTCAACTCAATATAGCAACCCTCTCTGATTTTAACTATGCCACGTAATGATGTAATGATTTGTTGCCCCCACACTATTGTAGTCGACAATTCCTTTAATATTTCACTGTTCAGGAGAAAGATAAAAGATGTCACATCAATTATTATATTGGATTATGTCTGACATGTTCAGGCATTAGACTGTCCCAGATTGTTAAGGATGAACACAGTACCTGGTAGGTCTCATTGTTGGACACCAGTTCATAGATGGGTGCAGCCTTGGTGATCTGCAGCAGGACGGGCTCAGACTGCTGCCTCCCCTGGGACGTCCTGGGGCTCATGTGGCAGAGGTGGCAGGAGCGCGGGCACTGGCCCTGGCTATTGCAGTCCATGCGGACGCCGGCGGCCATGCGCTTTGCTCCTGTGTCCAGCAGGCTGGCGATGTAGGCGGGGTAGGTCAGCGTCCTCGGTTCCTTCTCGCGCTCTTCTGACTCCTCGGAAGGAGAGTTACCTGATAGACAGAAGGATAAGTTTAAATAAGATGATGTTGCTTCTGGCTAAAGATGGCTTCATAGATCAAATAAATGGGGATTTATTCAACTCATGTTGTTGCTGACTTAAGTGTAACAAAACACATCAGGTATGACATTAATTGTCAGATGCTTTAGTCCAAAATTAGACCTAATCTTCCTATGAATGTCTGTTTTTGAGCCACGACAAAGGCTCAAATGTGGCCTTGTTTTTACAGTATAGTCAGCTGATTGCTTGAAATGCCTGTTAATACTGATAAAGTTGTTGAACATTTGCATTGATAGTATAAATCAATACAATACAACGTTTTTTTCATATATACCCACACACACATTTGCACACAACATTCATTTCAACATCTCCCTAAAGGATCACGCTTATAGTTGACATACAAATGTAAGCAAATGTATAAAGGCAACTCAAACTAAATGAACCTATAACAAACAAAACTAAAACATCATGTTTAAAACTATGACAACAACGATGATGTCCATGTTCCTCATTAAGAGACTAGGGTGCAGAGAATCACAAATAAAGCTTACAGTAACTGAGATTGTTCCCCTTCATTAGAATGATGGCAAACCAACAAAGCATTAATGTGTTCCCAAATGTCCCTTGTGGAGACTTCCGGATACATAACAGTTTAATGTTCCCTGTAGCAAAGAAGGTGAATGGGAAGCCCTCTAATGAACTATGAAACATTTACTATTGCTTTTATGGGCTATTATTGACCTTCAGGATTTTTTTCCCTCTCACTTTATGGGACTTGATTTACACCCTAATATTTATTACAGTAAAAATGATTTTGCTAAGAAAGGAATATTTCAGTGAAAGCTGAAATGTATACTTGACCACCATGCTTAGATGTGTATTGAGGTTAGAGCAGGCATCCTCAAACTACGGACTCCGGTCCGGATCCGGACCGAACCACCACTGTCTCCGGACTCTGAGCAAATTATACTTTTCATATGTATTATCTCTCTGTATTATATGTGAGACATCGCCACAACGCATTCGCAACGAGTCAAAATTCTCCGCTATGTCCACTGCAAACAGCGCTCTGCATGTCTGACTGTTCCACTGTGTTCCACCTGTGTGTGTCAACGCTTTGGTCCAATCACATTCAGCATCCAGTCAGCGTTTTTTCCCCCCAAACAATCTGCGAATCAGAGGCACAGTAGGGCGGGTCTTCGCGGAATGCGGGTGGGAAAAATGTGTGTGTCTCTTTCAACCTGTCTAAGTCAGAGCGAGAATTAAAAAAACAAAATTCAGAGCGAGAGTTAACAGCTCATCTAGTTCCATCTGTACTGTAGCTAGTAGCCTAGTTTCACCTACCGGGGTGGCAACTGACACCCTAAAAATAGGCCTTGCCACCCCAGCTGCCACCCCAGTTGGCAGCTTTGTTTTGAAAGAAAAGTTGTGGCTCATCGGACATTTATGAGAGAAAGTCTCTAATGTCCGAGTGCAAGTGAATGCAGCACAAGATGCACGTCATGCACGTCCCCCGGTCCTGGCGCGAGTGTGGACATACGATTGGTGGCGATTTCATTTTGAACTGGACGGCGCAAAACGAGAAGCATTCGGACCCAAGCACTGAAGGAATGAGGTATTTGCGGTCTACACTGACAGAGAAGAGACTGTCAGTTTGGCTGTACTCAGCATTGAATCAAAACGCACTAAAGCTGTTGATCTTAATACGTTTGTGAAATGGTAATCGCCGCATTCAGCTGTAATAGACATGTCAACTTGATGCTCTGCTCACGGATGAGCATACACAACTATTAAAGGTGGGGTAGGTAAGTTTCAGAAACCGGCTCGAGTGCACTAAAATTTGAAAATACACAGCCGAAAAGAATCCGCCCCTTCCTTCAGACTTCCTTACAGAGCACCTCCTCCAACACAGATGAACGCGCACATGACGTCTGCAGACTGGTGAAAGTGGCCGCCTGGCGAGTCATTGAAGTACTGCTGCAATGCACGCCCAATGAGGGCACGAGATACATTTGTGCGTGCACGAGATGGAAGGCTGACAGACAGGGCGGCAATCCAATCCGTTTAGCCGGCCCGGCTAAACGGATTGGTTGTACTTTTTACAGTACCACGGCTTCCACAGATGACATTTTTTTATGGATTTGTTGTCAAATACTTCAGATATTCATTGCTATCGGGATGTTAAGAGCATTCCATGGAATATAACAAAAAGTGTATCTCGAGCCGGTTTCTCAAACTTACCTACCCCACCTTTAAAATGATGACCTTACGTGTGTAAATATATTTTTTTCTTTGAGGGGGTCTGCCCCCAAAAAACTGTTTTAAGTCCTGAGAAAGTCAAATAAGACGGTGTGTAAAACTTCACTGCCCAGCCAAAAAAAAGTAACCACTTTGATTTAACTAGGCCAGTAGGTAAGGGCTTTCCACTGGATAATAACTGAGTATAAAAGAATGCATGACTGAAGTGATGGAGACCATGTTGAAGGCAAACTAAAAGAGGAAATAACAGGTCAAATCAAGCAAATCCCCCTCTCAGATTCCACAGCAACCAGAAGAACATACATACTGGCTGGTGATTTGATTAATCAGCTTTGTGATGGAATAAAAAATGCACAGTGCATTTCCTTAGCTGTGGGTGAGTCCACTGACACCACTGACAATGCTCAGTTGCTGGTGTTTGTGAGTTGTTATGATGAGGCAAAGGGGGAGTTTGTTGAAGATGTGTTGGGCCTGACGAACCTCAGTGGACACACAAGGGGGCAAGACATTTATAAAGCAATAATGGGAATGCTGAATGAAAGAGGGTGCAGCTGCCTTTATTCATAACTGTGCAGCTCTTACACTGCGACTCTGAGGGGTCAAGCACAGACACAATAACAATGAAAACTGCTGCATACAGATTATTTTTGTTTTTGCAACCTCGTGTTAAGAATCTTGTTGCAATTGTTTAAAAGTTTGAATGACCGTAATAAACGGACCTTTGTCTTATTGAAACATTTATTTTGGACCTTTAAGATTTGTATTTGAGTACCCCTGGGTTAGAGACACTATGTTTGGGTCAAAGACCTTTGTCTGGCTCATGTTTTCAGGGGAAAAGATTCTCTCCCTTTTTTTCCTGATCCATCTATTTGAAAACCTGTCTAAAAAAGGAGCTGATCAGATTTAGGCAACTTTGTGATGTCACAACAGTTTTTTAGGTTGGGCAACCATTAGGCACTAACCAAACAAGGTAACACCGTCCCACCTTATCACCTGAATCTCCTCCCAGAGCAACATTGTGCTTTATTATATCAATCACTTCTCAGAGGGGCGTGGCCAGCAGCAGCTCATTTGCATTTAAAGGTACAGACACAGATAATCGACACTTTTGAACAGGGTTGAAACAGAGGGGTTTATGGCGTGCTACAATGATCTGTTTAGTGTTTCAAGCCAAACACTTCAGAGACATGTTTTGTGTATGTCTGATAATATATTGTTGAAAAACTTTCGAGAAGCTTGAGAGCACGGAGAGAGGGAAACATGCTTAATGCAGCACTTTGGTGCCATTTTTCTTTTTTAAGAGGAGGAATTTTTCCAATTACCATGTGGGGAGACTGCTTGGCTGTGAGAAAACAGAGGCAATTTAAAAGCTCAAGCACCAATTAGGGAATAGGCTTGTTGTGCGCTCGCCTTTGATGGAATGCATCTCCAGTTTATGAACCATGGGCGAGAACAGGAGCTCAGGGACCGACACGTGTGCGGTATCAAGGCAATTCTTCTAAGAATAATGTAATATTTGTTTCACAACACTTTCAAAGTGATCTTCTGCACTTTACTTTTCTTTTTATCCAAGGAAACAGATGTATGATTGTGATGACTGTGTTTCCTTTGTGTGTTTTGAGCTTTGTAAAAATAGCAATCGACCGAATAAAGGTCATTGTATTTATGTAAATTGGGATAAACATACAAATCCTCACTTAATACCCAAAACAAACTGCATTTCTCAGACACCCACATGCACACCCTCACTCAGCCTTTTTAATAACAAATAGGTTAGCATATACATTCCTGCATTTAAGAATTTAACAAAAACAATATTTCTGACTTTGATAATTAAAGAAAATAAGCAGAAACATGTGAGAGCCATGCAAAGAGTATTATACTATCTCCATGGATTACCATAATGATTGTTTTTAAAGGTAAACAAGTTGTGTGTGTGTGTGTGTGTGTGTGTGTGTGTGTGTGTGTGTGTGTGTGTGTGTGTGTGTGTGTGTGTGTGTGTGTGTGTGTGTGTGTGTGTGTGTGTGTGTGTGTATGTGTATACTTGAGTGTAGGTGACGTGCCATTAAAAAGAGATTAAGAATCGTGGTGCTAAAATAACAATTGTCAGTGATTAACGCCTTGGTGATTATACCTCATAGCACACACATCTGAAATATACACACTCTAATTTGCACGACAGCCGTTTATTCTCACAGATTTTCAAAAAACGCCAAGATGACCAATTTTCTGATATTTCCCTGTTTTCTCCATTTTAAATCATATAAAACTGAAGATATTCAGGTTTTTGACTGACTATTTTCTGACATTCATTCGACAAAGGGTGATAATTAGTGTCAACCATATTTACACTCTGTAAAACTGTACAGATGGTGTCAGTTTGTGTTAAAATTATAATTAGTTGAATTAATGTTAAAACCTGTGGGTTAGATGATCTTTATGATTCTATATTGGAGCACATATTGGCACACTAGATCACTCCCTAAAGAAAAACATACACAACATAAAAAAGCCAAGAAAACAAAGATACTCATTGTTCAGAAAGTAAATCAGCAACACAGACCACTGGTTCCTTTGTGCTCCTGCAGATACAGGCCATGATGCACCTTGGCTCTTTATGTCAATTCACTATCACAGCAAACCAATGGGAGCAGGGGGGGCACATAACAACTCATAGTGAACCACTAGTGCAAACAAAGACAAACAACCGACCTAGAACACATAAATCAG